TCAGAAACCAAGGACTACATATATTGCATTTTGTAAAGTCTGTCTTTCATGTGGATATTATACCTTAAGATCCTGTTTTTAACTATTTTTGATAGCCAGGTTAAATGCTTTTTAGATCCCATTTAGAAACCGTGGGGTAAAGATGTTTTAATTAAACATAAACAGTAAGACTGGTATTATATAACTTACCCCATCAACTGAATGCAACTGAAATGCACTGGCATTTCTTCTTCTAGCCAGAGAGTTGTCACAACCAGTTTAAAACCTGAGGTATCGGCCTCTCTGCGGTGGTCCAAAAGGAAGGCGCCATTTGGAAATCGGTTCCACGAAAACAATGGGAAACTGTCTAGTGAAGGTTTCTAGCAAGGCATGTCAGTCGGACATGGAAGGCACCATTATATTTGGGGGACAGTTTCTGTCACCCTTCTGAACCTCCTTTTAGAGACTTCCAGCAGAAGAGGGTCATTTTGTGTATTTGATGCTTGTGGGAGCAGGACATTGAATGTTGTGGATCCTTTGTCTAAGAACAAGCCCTTTCTTTTGTCCTTATTGCTTTGGTTTCAATCCAGGCAAGAGATGCAGACTTTTGGGGTCCACGTCAGCATGGTTGAACCTGGCGCTTTTTCAACATCAATCTACAATCATCAGGAGGAGTCCTTGCAGAGAATATGGCGCCAGCTGGCCCCAGACATTCAAGAAAGCTATGGGCAGAAGTTCTTGAAAACGTGTGAGTTAAAGGGGAAAGAGCTTGTGGGGGAAGGCTGTTTGGTTGTAACCGAGAAAGTGCTAGATGGCCAGGTATGCAGGGCAGCCATGGGGTCATGGTTTAACTTGCTTTCCTTCAGTCTGTGAAGTGTCCCAAAAATGTGCCAGCATGATCTTCTCTGTCCCAACACTCAATTTCTCTTCTGCTTTGGAACTGTGGCTTGTGAGTAGTGATGTCCTGGGAGCGATTATGTGGGAAGAGTTAAGGGAAGAGATGTGTGGAAATCCTGTAGGAGGTAAGTTTGGGGTGTGCAACACACAAGGCCATTCCTCCCTTACCCAGGAACCATTTTTACTTGCCATGTTCCCATGAACGTCCCTGAAGCAGTTTAATGTCATCTGTAGTAATCTAGTTTTAAAGTCATGTGTTTCAACTGCTTCCAATGTTCTTTTTTTGTTGTGGATGCTATCTGGCATGGTTTGCTGACCACTTTGTTTCTAAAGTGGTCAGGATCTGTGCAGTACAAGCTACTATAGGTGGTCCTTTCTGTCTTGTAAATGGTCACTCTCCACAGTGGCCATTTTGGCCTGGCTGGTAGATCTTGTTCTAACTCAGCGGCCTGGAGGAGGAGCCCTTGTTCACAATTCCTCTCTTTACAGTTCTCTCATTTCCCCCCTCTCTTTCAACCTCTTTCAGCCCATTGCCCATTCCTTTCTATGACAGCTGAGTGGTCCTTCTTGGGGGCTGCCCCCCCCCTTGTGCAATAGATTATCCCCTGAGGGCTGGGGGCTCCAACCTCCTAGTTGTTGTAAGGCTGAATAGACCATTGTGCTGCACTGAGTGT